GGGGGCAGAAGGTGACACCAGAGCAGCGTTGCAGGGACGTTTATTGCAAGGAGAGCGCCCGGGTGGGGGGCAAAGAATTGGGGGGGGGACAGAGAGAAGGGGGGGGGACACACACAATGTCACCCCCTCAGGGTTTGGACTTTTTGAGTTTGAGTTTGTCGCGGATCCAGGTCTTCCCGCGTCGGAAGAATCCCCTGACACGGTCCTTCAACTTGGTGAAAAAATCCCTGATTTTGGTCCTGCGGGCATGGCCGAGCTGGGGGGAGGAGGAGGAGGAGGAGGAAGAGGGGGGAGATGGGGTGGGGAAGGTCTGGGTGACCTTTCCCCACCCCTCCCGCCTTGGGGACACGTCCCATGGTTGTTGGGGAGGGGAAAGGGTGGTGAAATCAGGGGACAAAGGTGCCACCTTCTTACCACCGTGGGCACCTTCTCGCAGGAGAGCTCCACCGTGGGCTGCTGGTCCTCCAGGAAGACGTTGCCCCGGCACCATGTCACCGTCTGTGGGGACACAAGAGGGGACACGGGTGAGATGAGGCCACCAGGAACCCAAACCACCACCACCACCCCCGTGCCTCAGTGTCCCCATGTTGGGGACAAAGCCTCACCCCGAACCAGCGCCTCTTGCAGGCGGTGGTGGCCATCCCTGGAGCCCGGCACGTGGTCTCCTCCACGGTGAAGCTCAGCTCCTGGCGTCCCTGCAGGTCACCGGGCTGGGAGAGGGGACAAAAGCCACCAGGGACCCATGGCACCATCGTCCCCAACGCCCAGCCCCCGAAACCACTCCCGAGAGGGGCCACATCCAGCCTGGAGATGGCTCAGACACAGCCCCAAACTGGGTGGGCTCCATCCCTGGGAAGGGTCAGACCCAGGCCCAAAATGGGCCGGATTCACCCCAAAAATAGGCTGTATCCAGCCCCAAAATGGGCCAGATCCTGCTCCCGAGCTGGAGGAGCTCAGCACTCACCCAACCGGGCCGGGGATGGACCTCCCGGAGCTGCAGGATGTAGGGGCTGATGGACCTGGCGTTGAGCAGCTCCACGGCCGCCGCGATGACATCCCTGTAGCTGATGGCCTGGAGCTCCGGTGGGGACGGAGACACGGATCCGGGCAACTCCAGCGTGGATCCATCCGGCCCGTGCGTGGTGGCCTTGGCCAGTCCCAGCAGCAGGAGAAGCAGCAGCAGCGGTGACACCGCTTGGCGGGGCGTCATCCTGCCTCCTGTCACCCACAGGGACAAGGACCTCTTTTATAGGAGCTGCTCGAGATGTTCCTGGTCTCACCAGGAAATTCCCAGTGGGACAAACCCAGCCAGGAGCCAAGTCCGTCCCACCTTGTTTGCTGTCACCTCAAGTCACAAGGTGGCCACAGAGGGTGCTGGCCCCAGAGGGTGCTGGCCCCAAAGGGTGCTGGCCCTGGGCACCATAAGCCAACACACTGGGGCAAGGTGAACCCCAAGAGGACCACCAAAGAGCCAAGTGGGGTTTGATGGGGCCATAGGGTGCCACCACGCCGGGGTAAGGTGCACCCTAAGGGGACATAGGGTGCCAACATACTGGGGCAAGGTGCACCCCAAGGGGACCACCAAAGAGCTGACCTGGGTTTGACAGGGACATAGGGTGCCACCAGACCAGGGCAAGGTGCACCCCAAGGGGACGTAGGGTGCCACCACCCCGGGACAAGGTCAACCCCAAGGGGATGCAGGGTGACATCACAGCAGGGCAAGGTGCACCCCAAGGGGACAACCAAAGAACCAACCAGGGTTTGATGGGGACACAGGGTGCCACCACGCTGGGGCAAGGTGCACCCCAAGGGGACCACCAAAGAGCCGACCTGGCATTGATGGGGATGTCGGGTGCCACCATGTTGGGTTTCTCACCCCCATTCTCCTCCAGGAGGGCTGGACGAAGAAGCCACTGTGCCCCACAGCTGGGGCTTTCCACCTGTCCCGGGGTGTTTTATGGCTGGGTGGGGTGGTGGAGACATTTGTTCCTCACGGCAAATAAGGTGTGTTTGATCAAACTCCAGCCCTGCGACCGGTCACCCTCTCCAAGACCAAGCAGGAACCTCTAGGAGGACGTCAAAGAACCCTACCCAGGAGATGACCCTCCGTTCACCCTCCGTCTGCACAGCGAGGGGAAACCCAAAGCCACCCAACAGGTTCAGAGCTCCTGGCTGGGAGGCCATCAAGGATGTTCTCCCAGAAGCTTGTAAATCAAGCGGGGACAAGTGTGCCCGGGTCAGGGCTGGTGGGTGGCACCTGGGAAGTCCCCAGGGTGGATGCTGCCAATCACAGACTCGTAGGACAGCCCAGGTTGGTCCTGGAAAGATCCAAGTCCAACCAGGTCCAACTTTCCATGGAGAAGGGACCCTAGGTGGGATAATCTCGCTTCCCATCCAGGTTCATCTTGAGAACCTCCAGCGACGGGGTCTCCACTGTGTCCCTGGGGAGGTTCTTCCAGTGAACAACTGGTCTCCAACTGGTCTCACTGTACAACCTAAGCTGACGAGAAACCTCCCCTGGTGCAACTTGTACCATGCTCTTCTCCACTTGACTCCTTGAAAGCCACCACCCTTTGAGCACTGGACTGCTGTGATGAGCTTCCCCCAGCAGGTTTGTAGATGACACCAAACTGGGAGGAGTGGTTGATGGGCCAGAGGGTCAGGCTGCCAGCCAGAGGGACCTCCACAAGCTGGAGAACCTCATGGGCTTCAACAATGAGAAGTGCCACATCCTACACCAGGGGAGGGACAACCCCAGGCACCAGGACATGCTGGGGGCCACCCAGCAGCATGTCAGAGAAGGCCTTGGGGGTTTTGGTGGACACCAAGGTGACCACGAACCAACACAGGAACCAGTTATGGGGTCTCTGGTCTTGGAGAACCCAAAACTCAACTGGAGGTGGTCCTGGGCAACTTGCCAGCTCTCAGTAGGGTCCCTGCCAGCCCTTCCACACTTCTTCACCTGGAGACAAGCTTTTGGGGGAGACAAATTCCTTCCAAATGCTTCAATTCCTTCCAAGTTCTCCCAAAGTCCTTCCAAATTCTTCCCAATTCCTTCTAAATTCTTCAGTCATGCAGAAAATTGGATTCTGGTGGGACACCAAGCACCGACGGTCCCTGCCAGACCTCCTGTCCCTTTGTGACACACAAGATCAAGGTGGGCAAAGTCATCTGCCTTTTATCGGAGCCCAAATCCTTCCAGATATCAGAAGGGGACGTTCCGTAGGGAGACAGCACCTGACCCAAGAGCCTGGGTCCCACGGGAGGGTGCACCAGGATTTAACAGCGATCAAAACCAGTATCAAGACCTCGAAATACTATTTTTAAGCATCCTGAGTAAACCTCGAGCGGGCTCACCCCTTTCAAAACAGACACGAAATCCTGCCTGGCCATTTTTGGCTCAGCTTTAGTCGGGATAACCCCATGCTCACACAGCTCCACGCAGGTCAACTCCCTTCTGCTGACTGTGTGTGTGTGAGAGTGTAAACAACACCCCCAAAACCAACCACCGAGGCCCCGACACCTGAGAAATACCCTCCTCATAAATCAGTCTCCGGCTTTGTTTGACCACCGTGAGACGGAGCTGCCCCTCCTCATTCCTGCCAACCCACATATTTATTTGTCTTTTATTCATTTCCCACAGGTGGCCCCTCTCCAACTCCCTGGAAGGAGGGGGTAGAGAGGTGGGGGTCGGTCTCTTCTCTCAAGTCACAGGCGACAGGACGAGAGGAAATGGCCTCAAGTTGCGCCAGGGGAGGTTCAGGCTGGATATTAGGAAACATTTTTTTCACTGAAAGGGTCATCAGCCATTGGAATGGGCTGCCCAGGGAGGGGGTTGAGGCACCATCCCTGGAGGTGTTCAAAAGCCGGGTTGATGTAGTGCTGGGAGGACTGGTTTAGTGATGATGCTCCTTGTTTGTTGTGTGGGTGTCTATTTTTGTCAGTTAGGTTGACAATTGGACAAGATGATATTTAAGGTCCCTTCCAACCTAGAAGATTCTGTGAAAACAAAACACAGGGAGAACTCGGGACAACCTCAACGAGGTCATGGCGGCCCATCAGCCCTAGAGCAGCCCCAGAGAAGGGCAAGGAGGGGAAAAACCTCCCCTGAAAACGCCAGAACACCCCCATGGCGAGGCTTTAAGGGGGCTTAAGGAAGGAGGGGAGCCAGGGAAGGACGGCAGCGGGGCTCGGGCCGGCAGAGGGGCAGCCCCGACGGCCCCTCCCGCTGGCTGCCCCACAGCGACCTGGCCTCACCCCCCCAACTCCACACTACCACCGCGGGGCCTCAAAAAATGGCGGCCTGGAGGGGCAAACCGGGCCCAGCCCGACCCACGGCCTCAGGTAGGGCCTCCCTCCGCGCTCCAGGCCGGGTCGGGCGGCGGGGACAGCGGGAGAGGCCGCGGTTGGGATCTCGGTTTGAACCATGGTCCATCATGGCGGCCGCCATCCCCTCGCGGCCGCCCGCGCGCCGGAAGTGGCGCATCTCGCGCGCCGGCGCCTCAGCCAATAGGAGCTGGCCGCGGGGGGAGATGACGCTATCACTCTGCGCTGGCGCATATGCGCTGCCGGCCCGGTGTGCGGCTGGGGCGGGAGAGGTCAGGCCCGGCGGCGGCGGGACGGGGGAGAATAGGGGCCCGGGAGGGGAGAACCGGGGCTTGGGGGCTGTGAGGGGAAGAGACTGAGGGTGGAGGATCGGGCCCGGGGCGGCTCTGAGGGAAATCGGGCGGGCTCAGGGGGAGAGCAGGCCCCGGGGGGGGAAGACGACAGGCTGAGGGAGCTGGGGTTGTTCAGCCTGGAGAAGAGGAGGCTCCGGGGAGACCTAATAGCAGCCTTCCAGTACCTGAAGGGAGCCTACAGGAAGGCTGGGGAGAGCCTGTTTAGAAAGGCCTGCAGTGACAGGACGAGGGGCAATGGCTTCAAGCTGGAGGGGAGCAGATTTAGACTGGAGATGAGGAGAGGGTTCTTCACTGTGAGGGTGGTGGAGCACTGGAACAGGCTGCCCAGGGAGGTGGTTGAGGCCCGTTCCCTGGAGATATTCAAGGTGAGGCTTGACGAGGCCCTGGGCAACCTGGTCTAGTTGGGGGTGTCCCTGCTGACTGCGGGGGGGTGGGACTAGATGACCTTTGGAGGTCCCTTCCAGCCTGGGCAATTCTATGATTCTATGAAATTCTCCAGCTCCTAAAGGGTTTCTTTTCCTTTCCTAGCGTTCCTGAGATGCGGCGCTGACCTCCAGCTGGTGACCATCCTTCCTTTCCCTCCCCCCAACACCTTCCACCATGGCGGCCCGCTTGGTGCGCCGCTGCTGCTGGCGGCACTTGGGTGCCTTCCTCTCCACTCCCTCGGCAGTCCCGGCTTCTCTGCTGGTGCCAGCGGGGAAGGTGGTGATGGCAAGAGCTCTGCCTCAAGCCCCTTCGGCTCTTTTTCATGCTTCCAGCCCTTCCAGCTGGGCAGATGGCTTCTCAGTCAAAGAGCAGGTGGAGGAAAGCGGAAATCCCGAGCACAAAATGATCGGGGAACTGATTGAAACAGCCACGAGCCCTCAGGAACTCTTCCAGTTGAGTGAGCTCCATGAGCTTAACAGCAACCAAGCCTCTCTGGTGATCACTCAGCTTTCCCGGCTCGCGGCAGAAAAAAAACTGGAAACGGAGAGCATCCTGCAGGATGAACGGTTCCAGCAGCTCGTCGGCATCACGGATTCCCAGGTGGGTTCCCTCCTCACGGGCACAAGTTGGAACAGAAGAGGTTCCACTCAAATATGAGGAGAAACTTCTTCACGGTGAGGGTGGCAGAGCCCTGGAACAGGCTGCCCAGGGAGGGTGTGGAGTCCCCTTCCTTGGAGATTTTCAAGACCCACCTGGATGCTCCTGAGTAACATGCTCTAGCTCTGGGCAATCCTGCTTCAGCAGGGGAGTTGGACTAGATGATCTCTGTGGTCCCTTCCAACTCTAAAATTCAGTGAAATTCACCACAGAAGTGTTTAGGGGAAGGAATATGAGGTGAAAAGCGGCCAGTGCTCCTGGGATTGAACTGGTGTGACTGGCTGGAGCGGGCTGCTTGTTTAGGGTTTGTACTTTGCCTTTTCAAGTTAAAAAAAAATAATGAAGTGGAAGGAATCAGGAGGGGAAATTATCAGCTCTGGGCAGGACACATGATTATTTCTGTCTAAAAGTGCTGCTTTTTGCACCAGAGACAAAACGTAACAGAGAGAGAATCCTCGTTAAACACTCCCTTCCTCCTGCTTCCATGAATTTTTGGTTTTCTCGGTGAGATAAAGCTGCTCCTTTGTCATTTAGTGGCAAAGAGGTGTCAGAGCCACGCGGCCGGACAGCCTGTGTGTCCTGCTGAGAGCTGCTGGCGCCTGCCATGTCCCACCCGGGCGTCTTGCTGGAGTCAACTGGGATTCTTCTCACCAGTTCACAGCCCCAGAGAAGCCACTGGGTGAGATGGGGCTTCTGAAGGGAACCAGTGCCCCGTGCTCCTCGTGTTGTGCTGTCACACCTCGGCAGCTCCATCAAATTCAGCGCTGTCCGCTGTGGCTGGTGGTGGCCCAGGTGGCTGCTACTGACACACCTACAGCTCCTGGGACCCACTTTGAGGAATCACAGGATGGTTTGGGTGGGAAGGGACCTTAAAGCCCCCCCAGTGCCACCCCCTGCCCTGGGCAGGGACACCTCCCACCAGCCCACGTTGCTCCAAGCCCCCTCCAACCTGCCCTTGAACCCCTCCAGGGATGGGGCAGCCACAGCTTCTCTGGCCAACCTGGGCCAGGCTCTCCCCACCCTCACACCAAACAAGTTCTTCCCCACATCTCAGCTCCATCTCCCCTCTTTCAGTTTAAAACCATTGCCCTTGGCCTGTTACAGAATCACAGAACCGTTTAGGTTGGAAAAGACCTTTCAAATCATCAAGTCCAACCCTCAACCCAACACTGACAAACCCACCACTGACCCATGTCCCTCAGCACCACGTCTGCCCGGCTTTTAAACGCATCCAGGGATGGTGACTCCACCCCTGCCCTGGGCAGCCTCTGCCAACGCTTCACAACCCTTTCCAGGAAGGAATTTTTCCCAATCTCCATCCTAAACCTCCCCTGGAGCAACTTGAGGCCATTTCGTCTTGTCCCATCGCCTGTTCCTTGGGAGGAGAGACGGAAGAGACCGACCCTCCTCTGGCTACCCCCTCCTTTCAGGGAGTTGGAGAGAGTGAGAAGGTCTCCCCTCAGCCTCCTTTTCTCCAGGCTGAACACCCCCAGCTCCCTCAGCTGCTCCTCACAAGTTCTCCAGACCCTTCTCCTTGGTCTCCAGACCCCTCACCAGCTCCGCTGACCTTCTTTGTCACTACAGGCCTCAGTAAAAAGTCTCTCCTTCTTATTTATAAGCCCCCTTTATATATTGAAAGGCCACCAGATGGTCTCCCTGGAGCCTTCTCTTCTCCAGAAAGAGGAGCAGAGGGGCAGATTCCCCCCCTTGCCCTGCTGGCCACGTTGCTGGGATGCCACCCAGGATGTGGGGGGCTTTCTGGGCTGCCAGTGCATGTTGCCAGCCCATGGCCAGCTTTTACCCTCTCTGCACCCCCAAATCCTTCTCCTTCCACCCCTCCCTCAGTCTGGGCTGGTTCTGGGGATTGCCTCAACCTCTGAACTTGCCTCGTTGAACTTGCTGAGGTTCCTTCCAGAGCTCTGGGGGTTCAAGTGTTCTACAGACACCTCTTATTTCTCCTGCTCCCTAATCTCTGCTCCCTAAAACCTGCCTGAGGACAGCAGAGAGGTGGGATTTGTCCTCAGGGAGCCTGTTCAGCTCCATTGACCTGAAATGTTTCCACGTCGCTCTATTATTTGGAGTGAAAATACTCCTCCTGCTCATCTACATGCTCCCGTGTCGCTGTCACCACGCATCAAGGGGGCACCTGTGTCCCTGGGAACCCCCCCCGGGTGGAGAAGGGATGCCCCAGAGCTGGCCAAGCCGTGCTGTCACGCTGCATGAGCGATGTGACAGGCGAGGCAGCGTGACCGGAGTGTGGGGAACCGCCGAGAGGGACGTGGCTGGGGATTTCACTGAATTTTTCACTGAATTTCACTGAATTTTAGAGTTGGAAGGGACCATAGAGATCATCTAGTCCAACTCCCCTGCTGAAGCAGGATTGCCTAGAGCTTGTCAGAGCATGTTACTCAGGAGCATCCAGGCGGGTCTTGAAAATCTCCAAGGAAGGGGACTCCACACCCTCCCTGGGCAGCCTGTTCCAGGGCTCTGTCACCTTCACTGTGAAGAAGTTTCTCCTCATATTTGAGTGGAACCTCTTATGTTCCAACTTGTGCCCGTTGCCCCTCGTCCTGTCACTGGGAACCACTGAAAAGAGTCTGGCTCCCTCCTCCTTCAACCCACCCTTGAGGTACTTGTAGGCATTGATAAGGTCTCCCCTCAGCCTTCTCTTCTCCAGACTGAAGAGTCCCAGCTCTCTCAGTCTCTCCTAAGGGAGATGCTCCAGTCCTTGAATCATCTTTGTTGCCCTTCGCTGGACTCTTTCTAGTAGTTCCCTGTCCCCCTTGAACTGGGGAGCCCAGAACTGGACACAGGATTCCAGTTGTGGCCTCCCCAGTGCAGAGCAGAGGGGGAGAATGACCTCCCTTGACCTGCTGGCCACACTCTTCCCTGTGCAACCCAAGATACCATTGGCCTCTTGGCCACAAGAGCACACTGTTTGCTCATTGTCATTTTACTGTCCACCAGGACCCCTAGATCTTTCTCTTCAGTAGTTGCCTCCAGCAGGTCCACCCCTAACCTGTACTGGTACCTGACATGTTTCTTCCCCAGGTGCAGGATCCTGCACTTTTCCCTGTTGAACCTCATGAGGTTCTTCCTTGCCCAGCCCTCCAGCCTGTCCAGATCTCGCTGGATGGCAGCACGGCCCTCCGGGGTGTCAGCCACCCCTCCCAGTTTGGTATCATCAGCCAACTTGCTGAGGATACACTCTGTCCCCTCGTCCAGGTCACTGATGAATATATTAAAGTCCAAGTATTGACCACTGGGGGACACCAGTGGTTACAGGCTTTGGAGATGTAAAGATTTGGAGATGTAAAGCAAGTAACCTCTCTGCGAACGCCACGATCCGTCTCCAACGAGCTGTTACCACAGCCGCCGGCAGAGATAACTGGATCTAAGAGGTCACCCTGTAGGTGGGAAGGTGCTGTGATGCAAAGAAATTAAAATTAATCCGCTCACAACGTCCTCGTGTCGACGAGGCAGAGGTTTTGAAGAGGAGATGAGGCGTGGGGCAGGGCAGCATGGAGGGAAAGGGCTCTTAACGGGCTGCGAGACGCGGTTTTCTCCGCCTGAATGGGTGAAAAAGGCGAGGGATCAGCCAGGGGATCAATCTGGTTTTTCTTGTGACCTTCTGAGTAACCTAGAGCAAATCACAAAGCTCGGCTTCTTTTTTCCCCAGCTGCATCCTAATCTGTGATATGTTTTTTTTTCAGGCTTTAGCCTCGGGTCGGTTTTGTGCCCGAGGTGCTGAATTGTGCTTGAGCAGGGCTTTAGGAATTTGCCGTGTGGTGGAAACGCTGGAATTTGGACAGGCCAGAGAGTTAAAGCCTTTGTTTGCCCAAACCCCTCTGCTCCCTCCTGCCTGAAATCCATCATCTCACGGCGCTGCCTCACTTGTCTCCTGCACCCTCACTCCGAGAAGCATCTCCTTGTTCCTAAAATCATTCAGGGGGTTGTCAGGCAGGCCCTGGGCTCCGTACCAGGGCGGCTGGTGCAGTGATTCTTTCTGAAAGGCCCATCAGAATCAACGTTGTTCTAAGGATTGTGTTTGTTTTCGTAGAAATCAGGAGAGCTTTCAGGCTGGAATTTCCTTTTCCTGCTGCACAGCACAGCTTGGGAAGCCTGGGCTGGATAGAAAGAGATATAAAGAGAAGGGCATTCCCTGATGGATGCCAAAGGAGATGGAAGCTGGTGGAAAACTGGTGGAAAACCACCTGCTCTGCCAGGGCTCCCAGCAGTGGCCAGGCAGAGGAGTTTTGGGGGCAGAGTGGGACTGGGTAAGTCCTGGTGCTCCCAGCAACTGGTGGGATTCGTGCCCAGGCTCCTTTCAGAGACATTGGAGAGAACTTGGAACATTTAGGATGAGTTTTGTCTGATGTGAGGTGATGAGTTGGGGTCTCGTGGCATTCCCCATGAAACCCTCAAGTTTCTGCCCCTGAATTATCATTTTCCCACCGCTCTTGGTTTTACCAGCCACACCAGGAAGCTTCAGAGCTTCCAGAGAAGGGTAAAGTCTAGTTAAATATTTCACCCAGTAGGAAATCTGTGTAACTTCCTTCTCTGAGGCAGAGGGAGTTCACCACCCACACGGGAGCTCCATGAGCAATGTGGAATTACCTCTTGAGGCTCCTCCACGACGCTGGGATCGATGTGTGGCTTCAGCTTGTGGTACCAAGCACTGAGCTTTCTCTTCCTCACCAGGGTGCTGGGTCATTCCAGTCTGTTCTGACTGTGAGGAGGAGCAGAGTTCTCCCGTGGTGGTGGTGGGGACAGCAGGATGTCCTCGGGCTGAGGAGGACACTCTTGTCTCCCCTTCAAAGTTCTGCAGCTCTTTGTGTAGAGGCAGAGCATTGCCTGGTGTTTGGTGTGGTGGCAACTGCATACTCTCATGTCTTCTCTCACCAACACCTTTTCCTTACTTCTTTCTGCTGCCCAGATTTCTCAGGTGTGGAATAACACCTTGGTGAACCTCCTGAAGAGCCTCTACTCCCTGGGGATGGAGAGCAGCAGGAGGGAGATGCAGTCGGTGGAGCAGGAGGTGCTGTGGCGGCTGCGGCGTCTCACCTTCAGGCAACTGGCCTCCTTGGCAGAGTTCTTGGCCGTGAAACAGGGGAAGGAGAACAAGCTGCTCAACGAAGTCATCAAGAAGCTGGAGCTGCGTTGGACGGAGCTGGAGGGCACCCGAACCGTGGTGACCCTGATGGGGAAGGTTGGGCACATCTCCCCAGCTCTGATGGACCGGCTGGAGGACAAGGTATAGGCTTCCACCTCCCTTCTGATAGGCCACCTCCCCCAGGTGACAGCAGTGGAAGGGAGAGCACTGTCCCCTTCAACCCATCCTGTGTGAGGGCATTAATTCATAAAACCGCCGAATGGTTTCCATGGAAAGGGACCTTAAAGACCATCCAATCCCACCCGGGGAGAGCACTGTCTCCTTCAGCCTATCCTGTGTGAGGGCATTAATTTGTAGAATCACAGAATGGTTTTGGTGGGAAGGGACCTTAAAGACCATCCAATCCCACCCTCTGCCCTGGTGGCACCATCTTCACCACCATCTTCAACTAAATCAGGTTGCTCAAAGCCCTGTCCAATGTCACCTGGACTTTTTACAGGGATGGGGCATGTCCCACCTTTCTGTGCAACCTGGGCCAGGCTCTCACCACCCTCCCACCAAACAAGTTCTTCCCCACCGCTCAGCTCCATCTCCCCTCTTTCAGGGTCAAACCCTTCCCCCTCCTCCTCTGGCTCCCCTCCCTCATCCAGAGTCCCTCCCCAGCTTTCCTGGAGCCCCTTGAGGGACTGGAAGGGGCTCCAAGGTCCCCCTGGAGCCTTCTCTTCTCCAGGCTGAACCCCCCCAACTCTCTCAGCCCCCCCTCCCAGCAGAGGGGCTCCAGCCCTCCCAGCATCTCCGGGGCCTCCTCTGGCCCTGCTCCAACAGCTCCATGTCCTTCTGCTGTTGGTGGCCCCAGAGCTGGAGGGAGCACTGGGTGGGGGTCTCCCCAGAGTGGAGCAGAGGGGCAGAATCCCCCCCTTGCCCTGCTGGGGGGCACAGCCCAGGTTTTGGGGGGTTTCTGGGTGACCAGCACACGTTGCCACCTCATGGCCAGCTTTCCCCCCACCCAGAACCTCCAAGTCCTTCTCCTCAGGGCTGCTCTCCATCCGTTCTCCACCCAACCTGGACTTGTGCTTGGGATTGCCCCAACCCAGGGGCAGGACGGGCACTCAGCAGCCCCTTCCCAGTCCATACTGGTGCTAGTGGATGCCTTGCACTGGTCTGCCCTGCTGGAAGGTGGGCTGAGCAGATGGGTTTTGCTTCATGGCCACGGTGGGTTGGCAGAGAACGGGCTTGAATTTCTTTAGCTCTGCTGGCAAGGGGTGACTTCCAGAGCCAGCGTAACACGGCTGCCAAAAACATCCTCCTCTCCCTCTCTGCACAAGCCAGGCAGCGAGGGGGGGGGCTGGAACAAGGAGTGTCCCTCCTGTCACCCATCATCTTCAAAGAGGGGGCAAATCTGTCCCCTCCCGTGCTCCGTGGGTCCCTGGTTTTGTCGCTCGCAGGAGCAAGGAAGGAGACATCCTTTGGGTGGGAAGGAGACATCCTTTGGGTGGGAGCTGCTGCAGCTGCGTCAAATTCAGTCCTTGGCCAGTCAGTGCTGGGGACTGGCCAAAAAGCTGCCACAGCAAAATCTGTAGCTCCAAAACCCCCACTGTCCCTCTCCCGTGACCCTGGGGATAAAGAAATGCTGCAGACACCGGCGCGTGACGAGGCAGAACGCTGGAGCTGGAGCTTACGGGGTTGTCAGCTTCTGCAGAGCCCAAATTAACGACGTTGGGTGAGCGTCCTGCTAACGAAGCAGAAATTACCATGGGTGCTGACCCAACAGAAGGTGTTTTTTTTTCTCTGTTGGTCTTTGCCCGACAGCATGTTACAAGGGGATTGGACACTGAGGTTCTGGCAGCTGTGGGAGGCAGAACCAGGGGTGGGGAGATCCTGGGTGAGCTCTGCTGGGAGGATGAAGGTCTGTTTCCCCTCATCCTCCATCCATGTGAGCTTGATCCTTGGGACTGTTTAGTATGAGGAAGAGGAGGCTGAGGGGAGACCTCATCACTGTCCTGCTAACGAAGCAGAAATGACGGTGGGTGCTGACCCAACAGAAGGTGGTTTTTTTTCTCTCTTGGTCTTTGTCTGACAGAGTGTTACGGTGCCCAGACCCACAAGGGGATTGGACACTGAGGTTCTGGCAGCTGTGGGAGGGAGAACCAGGGGTGGGGAGATCCTGGTTGAGCTCTGCTGGGAGGATGAAGGTCTGTTTCCCCTCATCCTCCATCCATGTGAGCTTGATCCTTGGGACTGTTTAGTATGAGGAAGAGGAGGCTGAGGGGAGACCTCATCACTCTCTACAACTTCGTGAAAGGACACTGTAGAGAGGTTGGTGCTGGTCTCTTCTCACAGGTAATTAGTGACAGAACGAGAGGGAACGGCTTCAAGCTCCAACAGGGGAGGTTTAGATTGAACATTAGGAAGGAATTTTTCACCCAAAGAGTGGTCGGGCGTTGGAACAGGCTGCCCAGGGAGGGGGTTGAGTCCCCATCCCTGGCTGTGTTTAAGGGCCGTTTAGATGCAGTGCTGAGGGACATGGTGTAGGGGAGGACTTTGTAGAGTAGGGGAGATGGTTGGACTCGATGATCCCAAGGGTCTCTTCCAACCTAGACCATTCTATGATCCCATGATCCCAGCTCCTCAGCCTCGCTGTGTGCGAAACACCCACCAATTCCAGTCCCTGCCACCCTCAAACCGGTAGCGATGGCACGTCCCACTCCAAATAAACCCTGTATCTCCACCTCCCTTTGTGCTTTCCCTTCCCATCCTTGCTCAAAAAACCTTTCTTGGCAGGCTCTGGAACTCGCTGAACAGTTCAACCCCGATGACATCCGGAAAATAACGCTGGCTCTCGCCTACCAGAACCGGCGCTGCGTCCCCCTGCTGCGAGCCTTGTCCTACCACCTCATCCAGAAGCACCCTGAGCTCAGCCTCAACGTCCTGATGGACCTGATTTTTGCTTATGGTAAGTGTTGGGACCTGCTGAACGTTACGTGGGGTAGATTTTGGGCTCTGGAGTGGGGATTTGGTGACGTTGGTAGCACGGTGTTGAGGTTGGATGGAGGAGAAAGGCTGGTGGGGTGCGTGACCTAGTGTTCCAGCCTGGTAGTTTCTAGCTCAAAGCACGAGCAGAGTGAGCTCCAAATATTCCATTTTGTTTCCAGTGCGTGGCAAAAAGGGGAATTTGTGATGAGAGAGCGCTGTGGAGGGGTGCTCGGGGTGCCAGGGAGCCCAAATATTCCATTTTGTTTCCAGTGTGTGGCAAAAAGGGGAATTTGTGATGATGGAGGGCTGTGGAGGGGTGCTCGGGGTGCCAGGGAGCCCCTCTGCCCTGCAGCGTGGGCAGCTGGTGAGCCAGGATCCTCCAAAAAGTCCCAAATCACCTCTTGCCTCCTCCGGTGGCCGTGAGTTTCTTGGGGAACCCTGGTCTCCATTTCCTTACTTCCAAAACGAAGCCACCAAGAGCGAGCCACCAGGAGCCCTGGGGAGGGACAGACTGTTTACATGGGGACAGTGGCACTAAAAGAGCTGATTTCTTTCCACCCAAGAAGGTCCTAGTGGGTGATGTTCCTGACCACAGGGTAAACCAGAGCCACCAGATACACGACGGTGACAGGCCCAGTGCACAACCGGTCTATTAACAGCAGAGCACACTAATTGATGATTTGGTTTATGATCCTTAGTTCTCTGGCTCCTATTTCCATGTAGTTTTTGTGTGGTCCTGTTCTCCTCTTCCTGTCGGTAGCCAGTGGAAAGCCCAGACAAGCAGGGAGAGCCAAGAAGGAGGTCTTCTTCTGTTGATTGTCCAGGTTCTGGTGGTGGGAACAACTCTCCTGACAACCAGTGGGGCCAGGATGGTCTCCTTAGGTTGGTTATACTCTCAAAATAAAGAAATAACCTCAGTAGACCTGGCCTTGGAGGGAGCTAGTGCTTCTCTCATTGGTGTTATCAGCTTAATTGCTTTGAAGTTGATGAATCTGGAGTGAGTTTCAAGGAGAGCAGGGGATGCTCCACGTTGTGGCCTCCAAATCTGTTCAGGGCACCATTCTCAGAGGAAGGGCTGTGGCTGCTCCAGCTCAGGAAGGGTGGTCAGATGATGTATATGGGTCTGGGTCGTATGTAGAGATTGGGCAAGGTCATCTCAGCAGTTCCCCAGCCTTGATACCTACAAAGTGGAGAACTACAAGGGCTGGATGTGGTTTGGGAGCCGGTCTGGCTCCGGCAGCGCTGTAACCGCTGCCATGGGGAGGCTTTTGGTCAGAATGCTGAGATTTTTGGGCCACATTGTTGCATCGGGGTGGTTTGAACCCATCGTTGCTGCTGCAGCTCATCTCAGAGCCTGCCTGTGCCCTTCTCGTGGGGGCTGTCCTCTCCTGGATGGTCTCCACACTGACCCAAGGCCCTCCAGAGTTTGGTGCTGCCGGTTGCTGATGGTTACTCGCATGTTCCTCGGGCTGGTGTGATGTTCCCTTAAGTTCAGGGCTTTTCTGGATGGACCAGTATCTGTAGCTGGAGACACTGAGGCCAAAACTGGCTGGGTGGAGGCCAGAGCCATGAGCTGGCCCTGGAATTGAGAGCTGGGGGGGTGCAGCAGGACACAGTAGAGACTTGATTTCCAACTGAGGGAGGCAACACCACTCTCCAAACTCCTAACGAACAGCTTCGTGCTTTCCCTGGTGGCCACCACGGCCCCCTCCAGGCACGGCTCCCGTACCAGCTCCTTGTAAGTGGCTGCCCCTTTCTCTTTGCTCCTTTAAGGAAAACTGAATTTCCACCAGCCCCAGGTCTTCCAGAAAATAGCCACCGACCTCCACCCCCACGTTGCCACCATGACGCCCGTGGAGGTGACGCGCTGCATCAGATCCTTCGCCCTCCTCAAGTGGCTCAGCCTCCCCCTCTTCGAGGCCATCGCGCAGGTGAGGAGAGGGTCTGGGGGTGCAGGGAACCTCCCCCCCACCAACACCAGTCCCCAGGAGATGGGAGAAGTTCTCCCCCAACCTCTCCAGAGATGCTCCCTGAGATGTCATCACTGTTTTTCTGGCCCAGCCGGCGGCTCTAATCGACTCTGACAGGAATCACTGCTCATTTTCCGCTGAAGTCAGCACCGGGAATCCGTGCTGAGCTGGGACCAGTCTCAGCTGCTTCTCCCCCCATCCTCCTCCTCAGCTCTGCCCCAGTTGATGTGTCTGCACTTCTGCAGCAGCACCAGGCCAGTGGGAACACTGCAGAGCTCTGCTTTCCCTCCTGCTGGGATAAAATTTTAGTATGAGGAAGAGGAGGCTGAGGGGTGTTCTCATCACTCTCTACAACTTCGTGAAAGGACACTGTAGAGAGGTTGGGGCTGGTCTCTTCTCACAGGTAATTAGTGACAGAACGAGAGGGAACGGCTTCAAGCTCCAACAGGGGAGGTTTAGATTGAACATTAGGAAGGGATTTTTCACCCAAAGAGTGGTCGGGCATTGGAACAGGCTGCCCAGGGAGGGGGGGGAGGCCCCATCCCTGGCTGTGTTTAAGGGCCGTTTCGATGCCCCCCTACATGGTTTAGGGAAGGGCTTTGTAGAGTAGGGGAGATGGTTGGACTCGATGATCCCAAGGGTCTCTTCCAACCTAGACCATTCTATGATTCTATGAAAATCCCAAGAAAGGAGGAAAAGATCTTTCCCTCACGTTTTCCCGTCTTTTCACGAGGCTGGTTGTGTCCTTGGTTGATGTTTTCAATCTTTTTTCCTCACGTAGGACAGATCTAAACCTCTGGTTTTGTCCCCTGTCTCTTCCAGTACACCCTGGACAACACCAAGCAGCTGTCAGTCACCCATCTGTGCAGCATCATCCTGTCTTTCGCTCGCCTCAACTTCCAGCCCAGCGGAAGCGAGGACTTCTTCAACATGGTAACCTTCCTTTTCTCCTCCTCTTCATCGACCTTCCTCCCTCCCTTGTTGGTGGGAAGGCTGTAGATCTCCTGCTGGCACATCCCCAGGTGAAAATGTGTGTGGGGTGGCTCCAGCCAGTGGTAAAAGGTCCTCCTTTGTGGGTGGGAAGGCTGTAGATCTCCTGCTGGCACATCCCCAGGTGAAAATGTGCGTGGGGTGGCTCCAGCCAGTGGTAAAAGGTGTGAGAAATGGGAAGGAGAGGGGGGTTCAAAGCTCGGGCCGGGCTTAAAAACCCACCCTGGGCTCCCCGGACTGTGTGCCAGGGCTGAACCAGTTAGTCCATGGGCTGAACCAGTTAGTCCATGACCTGCCCCAGTCACTTTTCCACCAGCCACCAGCACCTTGTGGCTGCTCACGTGCCCTCCTGAACTCCCAATTGCTGTAATTAACTCTTTATAACGAGGCCATAGGTGTCGACAGTTGCACGCCCCTCCCTGGCAGAGCTGTGTGGCTCTCCCAGCTCCAACTCTGGTAGCCCTGAGGCTACTCCCCTGGCTCTGAGGAGCTGGGGAGAAGGAGAAGAGGCTGCCACAGGCAGCTGGGGAGAAGGTTGTCACATCCCAGGGTGAGGAGATGTGGCTGGCTGTCTCGGCTGAGCAGAGAGGGAGCCTCCTGTGTGGTTTAGCAGGGGGTGAGTGTGGGGCAGACGCTGGTTTTGGCATCCTCCTGCCTTCCCCAGCTCGTGGAGGCAGCCAGGCTGGCCTCCAAAACGGAGAAGGAAGTCACCTTGACCTCCTTGGGGACAGATTTCTGCTGACGATTTGCAGAGGAGCCGCATTGTCGCTGTGTAAGCGGGCGGGCGTTCGCCGAGCACCTGGGAGCCTGCCCAAGCCTTTCACGTGGCAGCAGAGAAGGAGAAGGAGCCAGAGATGGGTGTTTCTCATCAGCAGGACCCTGGTGTCCCTCTGCAGGGCAGTGTGTCCCTCGTGGACAAGCCAACCTGGGGAGCAGGAGCTCCCTGGGACACAGAGAAGGGCAAGGTGTGGGAATAGCACCCAGACTCCCCCTGCCAGCACTAACTGTGGTCACCGTGAAGGGGGATTTTGTAGCAAGTGCTAAACTATTGATTTTTGAAGCTTTGCAGAAAAGTTCTCCAGGTTTAAGATGAGAAACCCCTGCGGGGTGCAGAGCTCCAGGCTCTTGCTGGGATCCTGACACCACAAATAGGTTCTCAGAGCCCTCCAGCTCCATTTACAGCAGGTTTTAATTGCAGATCCTGCAGAGTTTATCGCCTCCAGCTCCCCCTCTTTTCTGAACGCTGCCCTCGGGGCAGGGCTGGCTGCTGTGGTGTGTTACCTGTGGCTACTGGGCTTTCTGGTCAGCCCCTCCCAGCAGGGATGCAGCATCCTGGGCCACCAAACCGCTCCTCATGAGCTTCAGGGTCATGTTAGAGCGATTTTAAAGCAAATAACCCAGGTAGAAGTGCCAATCGGGTGCACTATAACGCCTCAGGGGGCCTCTCGAGCTGCCTGGTGACCTCAAGAGGCACGGCAGCGTTGAGCTGAGCTCTTGGTTTCCCTCTCTGCAGGTCCACGAGGAGCTCCAAGGTGAGTTGGACAACCTGGAGCCTCACCTTCTGACCGACCTGGTGTGGTCTCTCTGCGTGCTGCAGCAGGCCAAGGCTCCCTACCTGCAGCGAGTGCTGGCCCCCAACTTCTACGCGCGGATCCGAGGTGAGGTGGGGATCTCTGCTGGTGGGACGGGGTCCCAGAACCTCAAACCTGGGGCAGGGAATGGGGATACTGAGCCTGGGCTGCCTAAATTTGAGTTAATGGGTTGTTAACTGTTAACCAGGAGCAGCTCTTTGGAAAAAGACCTGGGAGTCCTGGTGGACAACAAGTTGCCCATGAGGGCACAATGATGGGCTCTTGTGGCCAAGAAGGCAAATGGTTTCCTGGGGGGGCATCAAGAAGAGTGTGACCAGCAGGTGGAGGGAGGTCATCCTGCCCCTCTGCTCTGCCCTGGGGAGGCCCCAGCTGGAGCACTGGGACCAGTAGTGCCCCCCCCCCCAGTTCCAGAAGGACAGGGAACTGCTGGAGAGGGTCCAGCAAAGGGCTACAGAGATGCTGAGGGGCCTGGAGCATCTCTCCCATGAGGAAAGGCTGAGGGACTTGGGGCTTTTTAGTCTGGAGAAGAGAAAGCTGAGGGGGGATCTGATCAACAACTACAAATGCTTCAAGGGTGGGTGTCAGGAGGATGGGGCCAGGCTTCTTCCAGTGGTGCCCAGGGACAGGACAAGAGGGAACGGGCACAAACTGGAACAGGGGAAGTTCCATCTCACCCTGAGGAGGAACTTGTTTGGTGTGAGGGTGGCAGAGCCCTGGCAGAGGCTGCCCAGGGAGGTGGTGGAGTCTCCTTCTCTGGAGACATTCCAAACCCCATCTGGATGTGTTCCTGTCCAATGGGCTCTGGGTGACCCCCCCTGCAGCTCTGTGCAGGGCAAGGGGAGCACGAGGCAGCAGCACCAGGAGGGTTGGGCTAGTGAGAAGCCACGGCCTCCAGCCCCAAGTAGCCCCCTTGGGCTGTGGATTTGTGCCTGTTTGTGATGGGGGAAGGAGAAGATGACCGTGCCAGCTCAGGCCATCCTTCCTCATTTCCTGTGCCCTCTTCTCCAGCCTTCCTCCCCAGCTCCTGCCCAGTGTCTGCTCTTCTGCCTCCCCAGCCCAAAACTGACTGTTTTATACGGCTGGAGCGACGCTTGTGGGGTTGAATCCCCTCAGGGTGATGTGTTGTCCCCATCCATGTGGTGGAAATGGCAGGTCCCAAGGCACATTTTGCTTCTCTGCTCACGTTTTCCCCCCCCAAGACCTTGGGAAGAGATGGGAGGGGTTGGGATTTCCTGACAAAATGGTGACTGTTGGGGAGGAGCAGCCCTGTCAAATTCGGTCCCTGCCTCTTCCATGGTGGGGACCGGCCAAACGGCTGCCACAGCAACTCCTGTGGTCCCTGAGCCCCCGTGTCCCCTTCCCGTGGGACCCCGGGGCTAAAATCACACCAGGGACATCGTGCTGCGATGGGGCTTGTCCCCAACGAACAAGGACACTGTTTGGCTCAGCCAGGTCATGGTGGGTTCTTGTGAGTGTCCCAAGCAAGGCCAGGAATCACAACATTTGGTCCTTGGTGGTCTGCATCTCCATGTCAGCAGGCAGGGACCTATCCCGGGGGGGTCAGAACCAGGAATCCCAGTCAGATCTGGCCACCCAGGCCACCAGATTACAGAATCACAGAATCTTCTAGGTTGGAAGGGACCTTAAAGATCATCTTGTCCAACCAACAACCTAACTGACAAAAATAGACACCCACACAACAAACAAGGAGCATCATCACTAACCCAGACCTCCCAGCACCACATCAACCCGTCTTTTGAACACCTCCAGGGATGGTGCCTCAACCACCTCCCTGGGCAGCCCATTCCAATGCCTGAGAACCCTTTCAGTGAAAAAATTTTTCCTAATATCCAGCCTGAACCTCCCCTGGTGCAACTTGAGGCCATTTCCTCTTGTCCTGTCGCCTGGGACTTGAGAAAAGAGACCGACCCCCACCTCTCTACACCCTCCTTTCAGGGAGTTGGAGAGAGCAATAAGGGCTCCCCTCAGCCTCCTCTTCTCCAGGCTGGAGATGAAGAGCCAGACCCCACCAGGGCTTCGATCTGTGTCTCTACCTCTGCTTCTCTCCTCCCACCAGGTGACCAGTCCCTCAAAGCCCAGAGTTTACGGCTGAAGCTCCTCCACATCAACGCTGCTGCCAAACTGGAAAGCCCCGAGTACCGGGGGCCATTCCTGCCGACGGAGATGCTGAGCACCTCGGAGCCAACGGGGGAGAAGGTGACCTTTCTGCAGAGCAGCCTGCGGGAGGCGCTAGTGGGGGTCCTGGGGAGCAGGGACAAGGGACGCTTCGATGTCCACACCATCTACGGCTGGCACATCGGTGAGTGGGTCCTCTCCCCGCCGCCGTGGGGAGCAGCGGGAGCAGTGTGGGTGGAGGGGATTGAACCCGAGGGCTTGGGAGGGGCTTTTTATTAGAGAGTCCTAGAATTGTCCGGGTTGGAAGGGACCTTTCAGATCATCGAGTCCAACCATCAACCCAACACTGACCAAAGCCACCACTGACCCATGTCCCTCAGCACCACGTCTGCCCGGCTTTTAGATCCCTCCAGGGATGGTGACTCCACCACTGCCCTGGGCAGCCTCTGCCACTGCTTCACAACCCTTTCCAGGAGGAATTTTTGCAAATCTCCATCCTAACCCTCTCCTGGAGCAACTTGAGGCCATTTCCTCTTGTCCCATCGCCTGTTCCTTGGGAGAAGAGACCAACCCCCCCGGGCTACCCCCTCCTTTCAGGGAGTTGGAGAGAGCCAGAAGGTCTCCCCTCAGCCTCCTTTTCTCCAGGCTGAACACCCCCAGCTCCCTCAGCTGCTCCTCACAAGTTCTCCAGACCCTTCTCCTTGTTCTCCAGACCCCTCACCAGCTCCGTTGCCCTTCTCTGGACACACTCCAGCCCCTCAAGGTCTTTTTTGTGGTGAGGGGCCCAAAACTGGACCCAGCCCTTGATGTGGGGCCTCACCAGTGCCTCCCCAGGGTGACCATCACTGCCCCAGTCCTGCTGGCCACACTATTCCTGATACAGGCCAGGATGCTGGTGGCCTTTTGGCCACCTGGGCACGCTGCTGGCTCCTATTGAGCCAACCAACGCGCCCAGGTCTCCTCATTTTTCAGCCTCACACCCCTCTGCCTCCTCATCGCAGCTGCCCAGATTGTCCCCATCTTCTCCCACAACTTGTCTCCGAAGGCAGAGCAGGAACCACAGCCCAGGGCACGGTTGTGGGTCACAGAAGTAGGAGGAAAGTCCTTCTCCTGTAGCCCCACAGCTCCGAGGCTTCTGGCTCTGGCCCCCCCCCGGACCCCCCCCCTTGCTCTCCTGCAGCCCTGTCAAATTCGATCCCTGCCTCTTCCTTGGTGGGGACCGGCCAACCGGCTGCCACAGCGACTTCTGTGGGCCACCAGCCCCGTGTCCCCTTCCCATGGGACGCTGGGGGGGGTGAAATGCCATGGACACCTCTTTCTGCCCAAGGAGATGTTTGGGAAGCACGAGGAGGGTGCTGCATCCCGGCTGCTCCGCGGCTCCGGCAAGGATTGGGGTTTTTTTTTGGGAAGGGACTGGTTGTTCCTCACGTGTTGGGTGTCACCAGCCTCCAGGTGGGTCTCGAGGGTCTTTGTGTCCCCTCCTTTCCGTGCAGATGCCGAGATGGTGGTGAACAGTGAAAATAAACCTCTCCCCGTGAAGGACTTTGCTGCTCCCCATCTGCTCCGCTCGGAAGGGACGAAGCCGCTGCCGCCGGGTGCCAGGAGGTGGGTCTGGGGCTCAGCTGTGCCTTGCCGTGGGGACAGGAGCTTGGGGGGAGAGAAAGGGGGCGGGGGGAGGAGGATTCTGTGTATCTCTGGGCCCCACACCTCCTGGTTGCCATGGCCAGCAGCTCACAGCAGAGCCCCAGGGGCTACCAGCGTGCCAAGGACGCCGTGCCCAGCTCGTTTGGGAGCAGGAGGGGGGTGGGCACAGGACAGAAATTGGGGTAGGGCTGTGCCAGCCCCCTGCAACTTGAGGCCATTTCCTCTTGTCCTGTCGCCTGGGACTTGAGAAAAGAGACCGACCCCCACCTCTCTACACCCTCCTTTCAGGGAGTTGGAGAGAGCAATAAGGTCTCCCCTCAGCCTCCTCTTCTCCAGGCTGGAGATGAAGAGCCAGACCCCACCAGGGCTTCGATCTGTGTCTCTACCTCTGCTTCTCTCCTCCCACCAGGTGACCAGTCCCTCAAAGCCCAGAGTTTACGGCTGAAGCTCCTCCACATCAACGCTGCTGCCAAACTGGAAAGCCCCGAGTACCGGGGGCCATTCCTGCCGACGGAGATGCTGAGCACCTCGGAGCCAACGGGGGAGAAGGTGACCTTTCTGCAGAGCAGCCTGCGGGAGGCGCTAGTGGGGGTCCTGGGGAGCAGGGACAAGGGACGCTTCGATGTCCACACCATCTACGGCTGGCACATCGGTGAGTGGGTCCTCTCCCCGCCGCCGTGGGGAGCAGCGGGAGCAGTGTGGGTGGAGGGGATTGAACCCGAGGGCTTGGGAGGGGCTTTTTATTAGAGAGTCCTAGAATTGTCCGGGTTGGAAGGGACCTTTCAGATCATCGAGTCCAACCATCAACCCAACACTGACCAAAGCCACCACTGACCCATGTCCCTCAGCACCACGTCTGCCCGGCTTTTAGATCCCTCCAGGGATGGTGACTCCACCACTGCCCTGGGCAGCCTCTGCCAATGCTTCACAACCCTTTCCAGGAGGAATTTTTCCCAATCTTCATCCTAAACCTCTCCTGGAGCAACTTGAGGCCATTTCCTCTTGTCCCATCGCCTGTTCCTTGGGAGAAGAGACCAACCCCCCCTGGCTACCCCCTCCTTTCAGGGAGTTGGAGAGAGCCAGAAGGTCTCCCCTCAGCCTCCTTTTCTCCAGGCTGAACACCCCCAGCTCCCTCAGCTGCTCCTCACAAGTTCTCCAGACCCTTCTCCTTGTTCTCCAGACCCCTCACCAGCTCCGTTGCCCTTCTCTGAACACACTCCAGCCCCTCAAGGTCTTTTTTGTGGTGAGGGGCCCAAAACTGGACCCAGCCCTTGATGTGGGGCCTCACCAGTGCCTCCCCAGGGTGACCATCACTGCCCCAGTCCTGCTGGCCACACTATTCCTGATACAGGCCAGGATGCTGGTGGCCTTTTGGCCACCTGGGCACGCTGCTGGCTCCTATTGAGCCAACCAACGCGCCCAGGTCTCCTCATTTTTCAGCCTCACACCCCTCTGCCTCCTCATCGCAGCTGCCCAGATTGTCCCCATCTTCTCCCACAACTTGTCTCCGAAGGCAGAGCAGGAACCACAGCCCAGGGCACGGTTGTGGGTCACAGAAGTAGGAGGAAAGTCCTTCTCCTGTAGCCCCACAGCTCCGAGGCTTCTGGCTCTGCCCTCCTTTCCCCTGCAGCCCCCCCCCGCCAGCGGCTCACAGCAGAGCCACAGGGGCTACCAGCGTGCCAAGGACGCCGTGCCCAGCTCGTTTGGGAGCAGGAGGGGGGTGGGCACAGGACAGAAATTGGGGTAGGGCTGTGCCAGCCCCCCACAAACCCCCCCCGGGGTAACATTTAGGAGCCAGGGGTTGTTCTGAGGAGCCAACGTGGTGGAAGCACAGCAGGGGAAGGGGCTGGACGTTGTTTGTGGTGATGGTTTCTCTCCAAAGAGCTTCTGCCCACGGTGGAAGCTCAGCAGGAGAAGGGGCTGGACGTTGGTTGTGGTGCTGGTTTCTCTCCAAAGAGCTTCTGCCCACGGAGCCCGTCGGGTCTGCAGGGCCCTGGGGACCGAGCTGCCTCCTCCTTCCTGCCTGGAAAAGGCAGAGTCACCCCGCTCCTGTGGCTGCCAGGCCTGGGCTGGGGATGAAGAAGGCTTGAGCTGTTCTCCTCCTCCTTCCCTGGTGGCTCGGGGGCAGGATAACATCTCCAGCAGGACAAAGCTGGGTCCTGCTGGGCAGAGCTTGGAGCAGACCCTTCTGCCCTTGGTTCCCTTTGGGATCCGGGTGCTCCTGCCGGCTGGGCTGGGGTTTGGTGTCCTCAGCATCATCTCATGGACCTCCCCTTTGTCCCCTCGCCCCCTCCAGGGTCGCCTTCCTCCGGTGGGAGTTCCCCAACTTCAGCAACAGAAGCAAGGACCTGCTGGGCCGCTACGTCATGGCCCGGCGCCACATCCAGGCGGCCGGCTTCCTCGTGGTGGACGTGAGTAGCCACAAGGAAGATGCAGGGGGGGTGTCTCTAATTCCATGGAGATGACAGAGCAGAAACGTTCTGGGGAAAGGGGGTTGGTTGTCACCTTCCTTCTGGCTCCCCCCTCACCTTCTTGAAGGTTCTGGGGTTGGTTATCACTTTCCTTCTCGCTCCCCCCTCACCTTCTTGAAGGTTCTGGGGTTGGTTGTCACCTTCTTGAAGGTTCTGGGGTTGGTTGTCACCTTCCTTCTCGCTCCCCCCTCACCTTCTTGAAGGTTCTGGGTCCCCTACAGCGGGACAAAGCTCCTTGGTGGCCACGGCCCCCTGCAGGGTGGCTCGGCGGGTCACCAGGTTGCCCACCCACGCTGGGATTAGCCATGGTGATCCCCTTCTGGGCCACCTGCTGGCCCAAAGGTTGGCCAACGGGGGCGGGGGGAGGAATCAGTCATGGAGGAGGACATCAGACGAGGTCTTAAGGCGCTGATCCCCTGCGGTGGAGCGGCGGGGTCACGGATTATTTAGCATCCTGGGGTTAATTATAGTTCTCCTGGCCCCTAACGAGCCCCACACTGCTTGGGGGGGGGGGGAAGGAGGAGGGGTTG